AATTAATAATCTCTCTATTTTTAACAGCAACACCAGAAGTACTACCGTCCTGCCGTGACTGTGAAACAAACCTGAACTTTTTGCATGATGGGATGCGTTTTCTTTCTGTCTCTAAACAGCTAGATAAGGGATATCTTGCTACTCCTACTTACACTTTGCAACTTCACAACACCCTGCATAATATTTATACTACATCTAGGTTTTTCTCCTATTCTAAATAGCTCTTGTTCTTTTTTATTTCTCTATTGCCATGGAGTGAAAAGAATCTTCCTCCGTAAGCCTGCGTGCGTATGACGACTAAAATGCCGGGAGCAAGGGGCTAGAAACCCCCTTCCCCTGTTACATTTACTAAAAGAGAAGAAGAAAAACTTTATAAAACTGGGTTGTTTAAATGTGGGTGGATGTAGTGCGGATGACAAGAAACAGATGATTGCTGATGTTATGAATGAAAAGAAGTTGGATGTCCTGGCTCTAAGCGAAACAAAGCTGAGGGGGTAGGCGGGGTAAGGGGTCGGCCTAGGAAGGGTTGGAGGGAGGGGGTAAAGGAGGTTTTGTGTGCGAGGGGCTTGGACTTCCAGCAGGCATGCGTGAGCGTGTTTGATAGGAGTGAATGGAGACAAATGGTTTTTAATACTTGACGTGCTGTTGGAGTGTGAGCAGATGTAACATTTATGAAGGGATTCAGGGAAACTGGGCAGGCCGGACTTGAGTCCTGGAGATGGGAAGTACAGTGCCTGCACTCTGAAGGAGGGGTGTTAATGTTGCAGTTTTAAAACTGTAGTGTAAAGCACCCTTCTGGCAAGACAGTGATGGAGTGAATGATGGTGAAAGTTTTTCTTTTTCGGGCCACGCACCTGCCTTGGTGGGAATCGGCCAGTGTGATAATATAAAAAAAAATATAAATTCCATTTGTTCTCTAGGCTTTCTTAACTTGTTAATCTCACTCCAAAACTTTTTTTTATTTTCAACAAAATTGTTGATAACATCTCACCCACTCTCTCATTTGCTCTCTTTTTACATTGCTTCACCACTCTCTTAACCTCTCTCTTTTTCTCCATATACTCTTCCCTCCTTGCATCACTTCTACTTTGTAAAAACTTCTCATATGCTAACTTTTTTCTCCCTTACTACTCTCTTTACATCATCATTCCACCAATCACTCCTCTTCCCTCCTGCACCCACTTTCCTGTAACCACAAACTTCTGCTGAACACTCTAACACTACATTTTTAAACCTACCCCATACCTCTTCGATCCCCATTGCCTATGCTCTCATTAGCCCATCTATCCTCCAATAGCTGTTTATATCTTACCCTAACTGCCTCCTCTTTTAGTTTATAAAACCTTCACCTCTCTCTTCCCTGATGCTTCTATTCTCCTTGTATCCCATCTACCTTTTACTCTCAGTGTAGCTACAACTAGAAAGTGATCTGATATATCTGTGGCCCCTCTATAAACATGTACATCCTGAAGTCTACTCAACAGTCTTTTATCTACCAATACATAATCCAACAACTACTGTCATTTCGCCCTACATCATATCGTGTATACTTATTTATCCTCTTTTTCTTAAAATATGTATTACCTATAACTAAACCCCTTTCTATACAAAGTTTCAATCAAAGGGCTCCCATTATCAATTTACACTTGGCACCCCAAACTTACCTACCACACCCTCTCTAAAAGTTTCTCCTACTTTAGCATTCAGGTCCCCTACACAATTACTCTCTCACTTGGTTCAAAGGCTCCTATACATTCACTTAACATCTCCCAAAATCTCTCTCTCTCCTCTGCATTCCTCTCTTCTCCAGGTGCATACATGCTTATTATGACCCACTTCTCGCATCCAACCTTTACTTTAATCCACATAATTCTTGAATTTACACATTCATATTCTCTTTTCTCCTTCCATAACTGATCATTTAACATTACTGCTACCCCTTCCTTTGCTCTAACTCTCTCAGATACTCCAGATTTAATCCCATTTATTTCCCCCCACTGAAATTCTCCTACCCCCTTCAGCTTTGTTTCGCTTAGAGCCAGGACATCCAACTTCTTTTCATTCATAACATCAGCAATCATCTGTTTCTTGTCATCCGCACTACATCCACGCACATTTAAGCATCCAATTTTATAAAGTTTTCTTCTTCTCTTTTTAGAAAATGTATTCAGGAAAGGGGTTACTAGCCCATTGCTCCCGGGCATTTTAGTCGCCCATACGACACGCATGGCTTACGGAGGAAAGATTCTTTTCCATTTTCCCCATGGACAATAGAAGAAATAAAAAAGAACAAGAGCTATTTAGAAAAAGGAGAAAAACCTAGATGTATGTATATATATATATGCATGTGCGTGTCTGTGAAGTGTGACCAAAGTGTAAGTAGGAGTAGCAAGATATCCCTGTTATCTAGTGTGTTTATGAGACAGAAAAAGAAACCAGCAATCCTACCATCATGCAAAACAGTTACAGGTTTTTGTTTCACAGTCATCTGGCAGGACGGTAGTACTTCCCTGGGTGGTTGCTGTCTACCAGCAACCACACATGCATGTGTAGTGTGACCTAAGTGTAAGTAGAAGTAGCAAGACGTACCTGAAATCTTGCATGTTTATGAGACAGAAAAAAGGACACCAGCAATCCTACCATCATGTAAAACAACTACAGGCTTTCGTTTTACACTCACTTGGCAGGACGGTAGTACCTCCCTGGGCGGTTGCTGTCTACCAACCTGCTACCTAATTATTATTATTATTATTATTATTATTATTACATTCAAGGGAAACTGCTAAAACCCTAGAAATTGTACATTATTATTATTATTGCATTCAAAGGAGCTGCTAAACCCATAGGGTCATACAGCACCTGGAGAAATGGAAGGCTTTCAGGTTTGATCCAAGTAATTGGATTAGAGGTTAATTGCCTTATAACAAGAGCCTCTCACCAGCATCAAGGAACCTCTCTTGAGGGGACAATCCATAAAAAGGAGAGCATAGCTCCATTTCTTTAGATCAAGAGCCCTTCATACTATCAAGGCACCCCTTTTGAAGGGTACACAAAGAAAATTGTATGTATTATACATTTAACAGACTTCTGTTTTGCAATGCTGACGAGACTGAAAAGATGAGAAATACCGCCAGAGTGCAAAACATTTAACAGACTTCTGTTTCATATTCACACAAGAGATGGAAGTAACTTCCTGGATGGCTCTTCTCTGTCGACCTAATGTTCTGTCTTGTCTGTTAACCCTCTGACTGTCATGGCTGTATATATACGTCTTACGAGGTACCGTGTTTGACGTATATATACTCATAAACTCTAGCAGCGTCAAATCAAGAAGGAGAAAGCTGGTAGGCCCACATGTGAGAGAATGGGTCTGTGTGGTCAGTGTGCACCATATAAAAAAAATCCTGGAGCATGCAGTGCATAATGGGAAAAAAAAACTGGCCATTTTTTTTAATTAAAATGCCGACTTTGTGGTCTATTTTCGTATAGTATTTATGGTTGTATTCTAGTTTTCTTGGTCTCATTTGATAGAATGGAAAACATACTACAGAAAAAGAGATGATTTTGATTGATTTTACTATATAAAGAACCTGGAAATGGAGCTCAAAGTAGGGGAAATGTTTGATTTTTGCCGATGTTTAAAAGTAAACAAATGATATCATTGTCCAATAAATGTCCAACTAGCCATTCTAATATACAGTCATGAATGGGTTGATGTTATTTATACAATTATTACAGTATTGGAGTAGTCTGCATAATAGTAAATCTATTTTTTTTTGAATAAAAATTCAAAATAGAAAGCAAGAGTAACATCAGAGGGGCCTGGAGACATGACTGATTAACAAAGAAAATGTTATTTTAGAGCCAGGAATGTCTGCATTGTTTATTCTGGATCTTATTTTGAAATCGTCATTTTTTTAATTTTCGTGAAATTGGCCAAATTGCAAATTTCTGACCACGTTATTGGGTAGTTGAGATTTGTAAATGGGCAGTTTCTTGTACTCAATTGATAGAAAAAATGGAGTTCTAAAGAAATAGCTATGAGTTTGGTCGACTGGAACAATGGAATTAGCCGAAAATAGGGCTCAAAGTGGTGAAATCGCAGATTTGTAAATATCGCCAAGGTCGCTAACTTTGCGAGAGCGTAATTCCGTCAGTTTTCCATCAAATTTCGTTTTTTTTGGTGTCATTACAATCGGGAAAAGATTCTCTATCATTTCATAGAAAAAATAATTTTTTTTTTTAAATTTTGCGACACCAGGAGACACCTCAGGATTGGGGGTTGCGACAGTCAAGGGGTTCAAGGTTCTGGGGTTATTGCCTCCATAGCCTAGTCTTAGGCCAGACCTAAATTAAAAAAGAAATACTGTACCATATTACAGGAATAAAAATTAAGAAACAAGGAAGAAAAATATATGTTGAATATAAATGGAAATTAATAAGATTTACTTGCCTTCTTATTTGTTCATGAACGAAACAAGACAAGAAAAGCAAAAACTGCCAAAGTGCAAAACATACACTTATACAATATGCAACAACCATTTTTCCTGAATGGTTATTGTCTACCAACCTACTCTTTTTTTTTTTTTTTTAATAAGCCAGCCGTCTCCCACTGAGGTAGGATGACCTAAAAAAGAAGAAACAATTTCACCATTATTCGCTACCAACAAATTCTTTCACTGCTAAACAACACTCCAAAATCATGGAACTATATTAAGTTTATGTGGGATATTGGCAGTTTGGAGGGACATCTAAACTGTCGTATCTGAGCACCTCTGCAAAGACAGTGATTATGTATAAGTGATGGTAAAAGTGTTGAATGATGAGGAAAGTTTTTTCTTTCTTTTTAGGTCACCCTGCCTGGGTGGGAGATGGCCGACATGTTAAAAAAATAAAATTATAAATGATGCTGTAGTTATAAACAACAGGTGCTGTGATAACTACAATGCTTGCAACTAATAAGTGATTACATAGCACATGTACTACAATATGTTACAAACCCTTTTCTGTAAGTCGAAGATCAGCATTGTCTGGCCTAAGTTGCAGTCTAAACTCTGCACGTGAAGTAAACATGCGGTAAGGCTCTGATGTGCCCTGAGTACTGAGATCATCAATCAAGACACCGATGTAACCCTCAGTCCGGTCCACAGTGAAGCTCTCCTTATTCAAAGCCTGTCAGGAAGTGGCAGTGATTCACCTTAATGTTGCATACGATAAACAAGTTGAAACTGCATAAAGTCCAGGTCTTGTACAGCACAGGCAGCTTCATGCAGTATACAAAATGTAGTTTACATGTAATAAGAAGTATACAAAGAGTGAGGTAACTAAGTGAACATTAAACAAAAGATATTTGATACAAAACATGAAGCAAATAATATATACAGATTTACTAAATATAAGCTAATGACTATTGCACATTAGTGAATGGAAATGTGTCAACAACAGAAAAGAAATTTTATTTCACAATATGATTTTTTGGTAAGCTTCCAGATGTAGCATTATGCTAAACATTTAACAAGAACAGTATTTGTAATTTTGTTTTTTCACCAAACTGGTCGTATCCCACCAAGGCAGGACTGCACAGATAAAGAGAACACCAGAAATTATCGTTTTAAAAATAATAATATTGAAATATTTAAGGATTCCTCACCTAGACTAGTATTTCGTAGGATTACCCTTCCTCTTAATACACTGCTTACGTCTCTTAGGCACTGATAAGGCTAACTTATGAAGATAGTCAATACCCCCACACCTGCTTCATGGCACTCAAGATTTTGAGATTAGAGGACACATCCATACCATGAAGCTTTTGCTTAATAAGATCCCAAATGTTTTCTATTGGATATAAGTCCAGTGATTTACCAGGCCAGTCATTGAAGTGTGGAATTTCACAATCATTTAGCCAATCTTTTATGCTTTTGGCAGTATAGCAAGGGGCATCACTTTACAAACACTACTCTAGCACTTCTCAAAACTGTCAGGCAAACTGTCTGCTAAAAACGTACTTCCGCACAAGCATGCTGCATATACACAATGTACACTTATAAGACAGTCTTGGTGTTGACAATACCTTCGCAGCAGCATTTATCCCAGCCACAATTCCTTGTGCTGCAGCTTCCTCATAACCAGTGGTTCCATTGATCTGTCCAGCCAGGAAGAGGCTGGAGATACGACTAGTCTCCAGCTGGGGGGTCAGCTCGCGTGGGTCAACGTAGTCATATTCCACACCATAGCCTGTTTTGGGAGAAGCAAACTAGCAATAAAACAGTTATGATGTTACAGATTAAAGCATAACATCAATGCAACAGTGTCCCCATATCCACAGGGGATACTTTCCAAAACCTTCAGTGGATACCTAAAACCATGGATAGTAGCAAACCCTATATATATAAGTAGTTTTTTGTTTACATACATACCTACGATAAAGTTTAATTGATAAATTATGCACACTAAATGAAGAATTAGCACTTTTTTCACTGTTAGGAAGCACTTCACAGCTTCTCTTAGGCTTTGAAGAGAATTAGGTGTTGATGGTGTGACTGAACTTTGTACAGTTGCTGTGGGTCTGGAACTCATCTCCTGCATAAAGCAAGACACACCTGTAATATGAAAAAAAAAAAAAAAAAAAAACTATACGATGGTACCTGGAGTAACCATTTCACAGCGCTGTAGTCCAGGTATGCAGCAGAGCAAGGCTTGTTGGTACTCAGGAGGCATTGTACAGGACAAACCTTGAGGATACACCAGACCAGAGTCTAAACCTTCTGGCTCAAGCCACACCTGGTGGTCACGACCTGAAAATCTGACATGAACACTATTTCAATAATAGAATACAACAATGTATAATTTGGTTAATTGAGAATTTTCCAGCATTTAGCATATATTTTTCATCATACACCTAAGTACTCACTCTAAACAATCAATCCTTCTTACAAAAATTGGATACCATGGAAAAATAGGCACAAATGAAGCATAATGCAATCCTCAGATCAGTTTGTGACCTGATAAAACCTAATATGTGGGCCAAATATGATCAATAAAGGATCGCATTATACAGCCTCTCCTCACTTAGTGACGTACTTGTTTACCTATGACTTGGACTTATGACAGGCTCTCTGACAAGTATGCATACATAGTTGTGAAACTTCCACTTTCAACAGTGGGTTAGTTGTGAAACTTCCACTTTCAACAGTGGGTTAGTTGTGAAACTTCTACTTTCAACAGTGGGTTAGTTGTGAATTGCTCTTTATATTTCCTTGGATACTCCCAGTTTCTCTTACCTTAAAACCTTCGATTCAATGGAAGGGCAGTAACGTGGCCCATTAGTCTCCTCCTGAACATGTCGATTTAAATGGAGCGTATCTCTAACAATCTTCTCTACCTCTGGGTTCGTGTGTGTCATGTAACACAATAACTGCTCCTCAGGCTGAAAGAACAATATTTTGTAAATGGCTTTGTCTTGTACACTGTTAGCAAATGTTTCTGATATGTTCGAACATTTGCAGTAAAATTCACTCAAATGCTGTATATATGAGTAAGAAGGACTGGGTTTGATTAGTACCTAAGCCCTAAGGTATTGCAACAAATTCTTGGGTAGCTTTCAGAAAAGGTTGGACAAATAGGTAGGTGGGAATGGTTGGCTTTGAGAAGGACAAGCCTTGTATGGGAGTAGCCCGCAGACGATGTTCGTCCATTCTATGTTGATCTTGAATTCTGACTTACCATCAGTACATGGCATTCCTCTCATAGAAATTTAAACTACCAATATACAGAAATATATAGAAATTATATATGGCTATAAAGATACCCAGCTGTTGCATATGTATCTCACTCATCAAACCATGGAACGGGCAGGTATTGAACCCCCAGCAAGTGAGTCCTAAAACTCCAGGCCAGTGCATAAGCCATGGGTTCAATCCCTGCCTGTTCTATGGTTGTCTGCAATCGTGTTTATTACGATTCTGTGAGTCAATCGGGTTTGAACTGAGGAAGGGGAGGCGGGATACAATTCCTCAGATCAAGAGATCTGCACCAGCGCCAACTCAAATCACACTGAAGAAAAAATGATTCTGCACTGACCTTAATCCAGACCTGTCGAGTCAAGAATGAAAATGGCACCGGTGGATTGTCTGGCTCTTGAAAGCTACACTGAGAGTAGTCAATAGTATTTTTGGCTATCCTCGGTGGTGTACCTGCAGTGAAGGAAGCAAAACCAGGCTCTGTGATAAGAATAAATGAAGAACTTCTGCTAGAATAAAGTTAATGTTCATCCTGCCTATGATATCCATTCACTAAAGTAATTGAAGAATGAGATACTTGTGCAACATTTGGGAATCTTTGAGGAAATGTTTTGCTAGTTCAATAAACATTCCCAAATGTTGCACAAGTGTCATTCAAAACCATTTATTTATATCACTAAACTGTCAATAATCTTGAATTAAAAATTACATTCCTTGATGGGATCATTCTATACCTAAAATAATTTTTTTTCTAAAAAGCACTGGACCAAAAATGATAGTATTCCAAAAAATAAAGGGTACTGTCCAAAAGCCCATTAAATCAGAACAATGTTAAAAAATGGCAGAAAAAACATTTCTGTATATTAATATAGTACAGTATACACAGTTTACAGTTATACTGCAATTAACATTGAAAACAAAGGAGTGAAAAGTACAATTTACTCAGTGTACTGTGTTATTGCAGAAGACTGGTATATTGATGTTCATTATATGAAGTGTCTACTGTATCTCATCAACAAGGACAAAAAGCAAAGAATACCTGTCTTTAGTCTTCCAAGCCTAAACTGCAGCTTCTCTAAGGTGTTGGCTAGTCCAATGGCCGGTGCATCCCCAAGTCTGCCAGCAGGTCTCACATCTAAGCCAATATTGATCACACCTCTTAAGAAAGTTCCCGTAGTGATGACAACACTGCGGCACTTGACCTCCTGTCCATCAGCTAACAGCACTCCCCAGCACTCACATCGTTGTGGATCATCTTCCAAAAAATATATGGCTCTTATTACATAACACTTGTATACAAATAGCCTGCACATAGGAGAAAGAAATTTATCACAGTGTTTCGGTTGAACTACTACATCTACTACTACATCCGCTACCAGTATTACCTCTACCACTACTATCTCCACTTCCTCCTTTCTTCCTCCTCTCTCTGTCCCGTCCCTGTCCGCCTCTCATATATATACGGGCTCCCTTACCTTCACGTGTTAGTTACTAGTTAATGGTTCAAGTTAGACTGAAACATTGCCATAAGTTTCTTTCTCCCATGTGTGGGTTATCTGTGTATTGTTCCAGTTGCAGTATTGTGCCTTTTTATTCTTCATAATGCTTTTTTTTTTTTTCAACAAGTTGGCCGTCTCCCACCGAGGCAGGGTGACCCAAAAAAGAAAGAAAATCCCCAAAAAGAAAATGCTTTCATCATCATTCAACACTTTCACCACACTCACACATTATCACTGTTGTTGCAGAGGTGCTCAGAATACAACAGTTTAGAAGCATATACGTATAAAGATACACAACATATCCCTCCAAACTGCCAATATCCCAAACCCCTCCTTTAAAGTGCAGGCATTGTACTTCCCATTTCCAGGACTCAAGTCCGACTATAATCATTAAAATGAAATTTTAAAACATAGCATATGTAGGTACAGTTCTCATTTAACACACCAGCCATCTCCCACCAAGGCAGGGCAACCCAAAAAAGAAGAAAATAAAGTTTTTCTTGTTTTTACATTTAGTAATTTACACAGGAGAAGCGGTTACTAGCCCCTTGGTCCCGGCATTTAGTAATTTATACAGGGAAAGGGGTTACTAGCCCCTTGCTCCCGTTACTTTAGTCAATTCTTACGAGACCCATGGCTTACGGAGGAAGGATTCTCCTCCACTCTAAGGTGTCTGTGTACTGTATATGTAAAACTGCCAAACACACATGGTAAGCTCAGACTTATATACAGTGACCTGAGCACAGGTCTCAGCCTGGTATATGATCATGACACAAACCTCACACTGCAATAATTATTATTATTAGAATACAATAGACTGTATACATGTACGTATTAATGTTAGAGGACTCATCATATTACCACAGGTTCAAACCCCACCTGTGGTATGGTTTGTTTGCAATCATGTCATTACGATTTTGTGAGTAACAAATATAGATGTAAATTGATTATAAGCAAAAATGTGTAAGATTTACCTGCCACTGTATATAGACAGACAGAGAAAAATGACCATAAATCCTATCAAAGAGCAAAACATTTACCACATTTCAATGCACAAATAGCCCACACATTAGAAAATGAAACTTAAGACAATTTTCATCGCAAATCGAACCAAAATGTCATCATAAGCTTCATTCTCCTATGTGCAGGTTATTTGTGTAGTGTTCCAGTCACAGTATTATGCCTTTTTATTCTTTACCAGTTTGACACACACATGGCCAGACATTAGCTGTTATTTGCATAAAAACAGAAAAACAATTTTGCCAGACTTTTTTGCTTACCTGAGTGTTGTCTTAACATGAGATCTTCCACTGATGCTTCAATGATGGTAAGATTAGGAACCTGAAACAACTCTTCCTGAAGGTTTCTCTTGTAAAGCACTCGGTCTATTTGTGCCCTCAGACCCCACACAGCAGGACCCTTGCTACGATTCAGAACCTGAAAACAAAATAAACATTCACACTGCGAGAAACTTTAATCAATCTTTTCAATTCTACATTGCAGAAACTAGCACAATCAGTATTGAGATATAAATTCAGGAATTCAGTTAAATTGGTTAACTGGACTTGAGTCCTGGAGGTGGGATGTACAATGCTTGCACTTTATAATAGTTTGGGCTATTGGAGTGACATCTGAACTGTTGTATCCGGGTGCCTCTGTGAAGACAGTGATTATGCGTGAATGATGGTCAAATTATTTCTTTCCGTTTTGGGTCACCCTGCCTCAGTGGGAGACAGCCAATGTGTTAAAAAAATGATTTATTAATAATGAATTATGAAATAAATAATGAATCATGAAAAAGTGTCTTTGATAGGTAGGTATTGAGAGAGATGTATGCAACTTTAATCATTGAGGCTGAAGAGACAATATCCCACAATAAATTTTATTCTAAGTGTATGCCAAATACATGGTAATGATAGCTTTAAAAGTTTCATTAAAATGGAAAATTCTGACTATGTTTTGCATATATTTTATAAATTCAAATTCAAATTTTTACCCATTTTATGCAGTACACAATGTAGTTTACATGTAATAAAATATTATTAGGCACAAAAGAAAGGCACCAGTATGCAGTGCATTTTGGGCAAAGTACTGTATACTCATTATAAATTGGAACTTTACTCAGGTCCTGCTTAAAAATCAGTGAAGTTTACAATAAAAGTAGAACTCATCTGATGAATGGTTTTGAAAACCGACAAGTTGAAGAACTGAGACACTTATGCAACACATGGGAATCTTTATTGAAGAAACGTTTCGCCACACAGTGGCTTCATCAGTCCAATACAAAGTAGAATTGGGTAAGGAGAGGAAAAATTTGAGGTAATCAGTCCCTCAACCTGGAATCGATGTGTTCAGTCCATCACTCTTGTATGAAGAGTGATGGACTGAACACATCGATTCCAGGTTGAGGGACTGATTACCTCAAACTTTTCCTCTCCTTACCCAATTCTACTTTGTATTGGACTGATGAAGCCACTGTGTGGCGAAACGTTTCTTCAACAAAGATTCCCATGTGTTGCATAAGTGTCTCAATTCTTCAAAGGTAGAACTCCTTACCTTGTAGTGTACGCCAGAAATATCACATATCCGACCACAAAGACCATCCAGGGCATCAACTTCTTTCATCAGGTGACCTTTACCAATGCCTCCAAAAGAAGGATTGCATGACATTTCTCCTACGAGTGATAACAAATTAATTATTTTAACATTGTGCAGTTTACTTAATTTTAAATGACTTATATAAAATAAGTTCTCAGAAGAAATGCTGCACAACCAACTCTTGATATTAGTGGGTGATTATTACTGTTAGAGAATATTTATGGGAAAGAGTTGAACCCAAGGGGTGATATAATGCATGGGAATGGGAGGCAATGTATGAATCGCAGAGTGAGAGTTAGTTTTTAGTAAATAGCTAAATATGAAATGTTACTGAATACAGTCTACTGTGCTGTCTTTCAAATATGGTAAAGGAACATATGAAAGAACAGTACTGTAGGTGCTCCTCAACTCATGATGGGGGTTACATCCTGATGAACCTATCATAAGTTGAAAATATGGTAAGACAAATATGAATGTGTGATAAATAAATAAATTAGTAAATAAATAACTACTGTCACTGAATAAGTAAATAAACAAATAATTACTGTAACAAACTAAATACCAGTATTAAGAAGTAAATAAATGAACACACGTTTATCCTTTAAAGGAGGGGTTTGGGATATTGGCAGTTAGGAGTGACTATCTAAACTGACATATCTGGGCGCCTCTGCAAGACAGTGATTATGTATGAGTGATGGTGAAAATGTTGACTGATAGTGAAAGTTTTTTCTTTCTTTCTGGGTTTTTCTTTCTTTTGGGTCACCCTGCCTTGGTGGGAGATGGCCGATGTGTTAAAAAAAAAAAAAAATTATCCTATCAATAAATGTAGAGTATTGAATGTGCAATGCTATCACACCATCATAATGTCAAAATATCATAAGTCAAACCATTGTAAAGCGAGGAGCATGTACTCTGTCTCCTATGATACTTGATAATAACCTATGGTGGATTTTTTGTGTGTGATGAGTAGTGTAGTGGCACCCATCCTGGCGGCGGCAGCACAGGCTTCAGTACCAGCGTGACCACCTCCCACCACCACCACATCAAATACCTCCTTCGCAGAATATACACTGCACCGACGCACCTGAAGCGCTCTCTCTGCTATTCTACACCACCGAAACATTATTCAGAGTCTGAAAAATTGACATATTATAAGAACATAAGAACATAAGAAAGGAGGAACACTGCAGACAAATATTATTATTATTATTATTATTATTATTATTATTATTATTATTATTATTATTATTATTATTATTATTATTGTTGTTGTTGTTATTATACAAATATTATTATTATTATTATTATTATTATTATTATTATTATTATTATTACAATCAAAGGTAGCACTAAACCTGCAAGGGGTCATACACGTTAAGTAAAAGGACGCAAGTGCAACTAACGTGACATTTTATTGTGGCAACATTTTGCTCTCCAGGAGGTTTGTCAAGCTCTGCATATCATAAGGCAAGTTTTTAAGTCTGGCTTGCCATGGGTTCGAGTCCCATCCATTCTGTAAATAATCCATATTACATTTATAGTGGGGAAGCACTAAACCCACAGAGGTCACACAGCACCCAGCAAGTGGGAAGGCAATAATGTTTAATCCAGGAAAGAGGAGGAACATAAAGCCAATTCCTTGGATCAAGAGCCTCTCTCACCGGGCCTCAAGGCTACGAAGTAAGTAAATTTATTCAGGTATACACAGTTACGTAGATTATCATACATAGCAGCATGTGTGCTGAGAACCCAGGATAACACAAAATGTCAAACAAAGTGACTTATTTACATTGTGGTTCTTGTGGTATTATTATTTATATTTAGAATTTAAAAATTGGTATGCATCTTAACTATGTAAAAGCAGTTACAATAAAAGAAGATATACTAGAAGAGAGGTAAAATTAATCACTTTCATACAAGAAATCACACTACTCCCTTTCCGAAGCTTTATTCACAAGGTGTCCCGTAGCTCGGTCACTAGCGCACTCGCCTCACACACTCAGGTCTGGAGTTCGAATCTCTGGACACGTTTCCATAAGACACCTGCTGTCCATGTTCACACATCAGTAAAATAGGTACCCGGGTGTTAGTGGACTGGCGTGAGTTGCATCCTGGGACAAAATTGACCTAATTTACGGGAAATGCTCTACATAACAAGGAACTTTCTATATAGTAGTATGTCATTGATGTCAGCTATGGTCTGTATACCTTGTATATGTACTTGTAGTAAATAAAGATATTATTATTATTATTATTAACTGGCTCATGCTATGAAAAGCTCAGGAAAAAATGTTACAGCAGCACAATTAACCCATTATCTGTTTTTTTGGGTTATCCTGGTGGTTAATTTACACATATGTGTCACTATGCATGATAATTGTGCTTATGTATACCTGTCACTCTGTCTGACTTTTTTGGGTTATTCTAGGTTCTCACACATACGCAAAGTAGATAATTCTATTAACGATTTTTTTACCGAATAAATTTACTTACTTACTTTTTACTTACAACAAAAATTAGTAGTTTTTGTTGTTTTGATTTTTTAAGTATTATTTTAAAATGTTTATTTCACCCCCTACCCATCCTTGGGCGGGAGTCAAAAGATTACAGAGGTACATAAGGGTCCAGGGGCTGGGGCCCCAAAATTTTATAGCTGACAAGCCCACAGAAAGGGAAGAAATCACAAATTTTCAAAGGTAAAAACCACAAATTTTCAAAGGTAATAAAAAGTTAAATATAATATTAAAATTTTACTTTATTAATAAAAGGGCACTAAAATAAAGGTATAAAATTAATTAAAACCGGTCAACTAAGTGATTTTATTGGGCAAATTTGCTTCTCCTTTTTACAACCCCATCAAACAAGAATTCTCCCCAAAACCACCCCACCCAAAAAACTATACAATAGGGGAACACTCAAACCCCAACCACACACCACATAACATAACTTAACCAAAAAACATAAAACCATTCCCAAATCAACCCCACCCCCAAAACACAAAAAAAAACAGACACAGTTAAGTTTATTATACTACAATGGGGGGTTCTAAAAGGTAATAACCCAATGTATAAAATACTTTTTTTACATTTGTTGCTTTGATTGATTGTTTTCTAATATTAATTTTATCGCACTCCAGTAATAATACGCAATGTGTGACAATAGTCCATGGGCAAAGTTTAACATTTCGTTTGGTCTACATCTGGTGTGGTGATTTAACCTGCCAAAGATACTTGAAACCCAGCCGGAGCCGGCGGTAGTTGACTCCAAAGTCAGCTTTCTTGTGGATGCCACCATAGACATGGCTCCTCCTGCATGATAGAATGAAGATAAGATGGACTCCGGTGTCAATCTCCTGAGCCTTAAGTCCATAAAATTCAGCTAAGTTCTTTTCGTAATATTGTTCTCAAACTACTACCTGACAAGCCAAGATTGTAATTTCTACCCCCCTTTTTGATAGCATACAGTTAGACAATTTATCATTCATCATGCCATCTGAAGACCAATGTAGATGGAATCCACAGCATGTGCACTCTGACTCCACTGTCCACAATCCTACCATACCTGTGTCTGGCTTCTGACACAAGCATGCCACAATTTATGCTTAATGAGTTGAGAGCATTTATGGATGACAGAGAATCAGTTACAATTAAACTGTCAATCTTTGATACATAGACACTAAAGTTGATGTTTTATTGAGTCGTGCTTCCCGGGAGAGCCAGAAATATTTCTTTTTAATATTAACACATCAGCAGTCTCCCACCAAGGCAGGGTGGCCCGAAAAAGAAAAACTTTCACCATCATTCACTCCATCACTGTCTTGCCAGAGGCGCACTTACAGCTAGTGATGTATCGGATATCTGCATCCACATCCGCACAATTTCTGACATCCGCTTCCGCATTCGCTAAATAAGTAAGGCATCCTCATACACATCTGCATCTGTGGATATCTAAATTTTCACATCTGATACATTCAATGTTTATTCTCTTTAAGTATTACAATGCTGAGTTTACAGAATTTAGTTATTGTGTGGTTTACATGTAGTAAAATAATAATTACAGAGTGTACCACTAGAACACCTAGCATGGCTAGGCATTTCGGGCAGACTTAGATTAATTCTTAATTTTAAAATATTACAAATTATGAGATAAGTTGGTATTATGGCTAAGTGACTAAATACTAGCTTGTGAGTTTAGCAATGTGAATGTTTTTGTTTTGGCACAATACATAGTTTCAGTATTGGAATATCACAGGATTCATTATTTTAAGATTGAGATTAATATTTCTGTTTATGGTCAAATGGGTGAGTGAGTGTAAGTGTGAACCACCATGTGGAATTCTATAACTTACACTATAACTACACTGTAACTTACACTACAGTTATAAAACTGCAACATTAACACCCCTCCTTCAGAGTGCAGGCACTGTGCTTCCCATCTCCAGGACTCAAGTCCAGCCTGCCAGTTTCTCTGAATCCCTTCATAAATGTTACCTTGCTCACACTCCAACAGCACGTCAAGTCCTAAAAACCATTTGTCTCCATTCACTCCTATCAAACACGCTCACGCATGCCTGCTGGAAGTCCAAGCCCCTCGCACACAAAACCTCCTTTACCCCCTCCCTCCAACCTTTCCTAGGCCGACCCTTACCCTGCCTTCCTTCCACTACAGATTTATACACTCTCAAAATCATTCTATTTTGTCCAAGCCTTTCTACATGTCCGAACCAGAGACATTATTATTATTATTATTATTATTATTATTATTATTATTATTATTATTATTATTATTGAAGAATTGAGACACATGGAAATCTTTATTGATAATTCTATGTAACTGTATTGTGTATACCTGAATAAATTTACTTACTTACTTACTTACTTACTTACTGAAGAAGCGTTTCGCCACACAGTGGCTTTATCAGTCCAATACAAAGTAGAAATGGGTAAGGAAAGGAGAAGTTTGAGGTAATCGGTCCCTCAGCCTGGAATCAATGTGTTCAGTCCATCACTCTTGTAGAAAGTACAGCATAGGGTTAGGTTAGATAAGGTTTGTCAGGAAACAGGACAAGTGTTTCCTGACGCGGCTCTTAGTCAGATGACCCGCCTTTGGAGCTTGTGGTCATCTGACCGAGGCCTTCCGCTGGCTTACTGGTCCACCCCTTTAAAAATTATGGCCATTGATAACCATGTACGTTGTTATAGTAATAATACAGCACATGGCCAGAGAGGTGGCTTATATACTGCAGTCAGGTGAGTAGAAGCAGGAGAAGGCGGGGTCACAGTGGGACCTTCCACTAGTGTAAGTAGGTTGTTGTCCAAAGGTTGGATAAGTGTTGAAGAATTCCTTGTATCAAGATCCCATGATGTTGCAGTGCAGTATATAAGCCACCTCTCTGGCCCTGTGCTGCAATAACAATGGCTATAAATGACCATAATTTTTAAAGGGGGGGACCGGTAAGCCAGCGGAAGGCCTCGGTCAGATGACCACAAGCTCCAAAGGCGGGTCATCTGACTAAGAGCCGCGTCAGGAAACACTTGTCCTGTTTCCTGACAAACCTTATCTAACCTAACCCTATGCTGTACTTTCTACAAGAGTGATGGACTGAACACATTGATTCCAGGCTGAGGGACCGATTACCTCAAACTTCTCCTTTCCTTACCCATTTCTACTTTGTATTGGACTGATGAAGCCACTGTGTGGCGAAACGTTGCTTCAGTAAAGATTATCATATGTTGCATAAGTATCTCAATTCTTTAACTTGTCGGTTTTCAAAACCATTCATCAAATTATTATTATCATTATTTATTATTATTATTATTATTATTATTATTATTATTATTATTATTATTATTTTAACAACAACAACAACAACAATAATAATAATAATAATAATAATAATAATAATAATAATAATAATAATAATAATAATAATCCTGCACCCAGGATTGAACCCGGGCACCTCTCCAGTACCCAGGATTGAACCCGGGCACCTCTCCAGTACCCAGGATTGACCCGTGCATCCTCTCCAGTACCCAGGATTGAACCCGGCACCTCTCCAGTACCCAGGATTGAACCCGGCACCTCTCCAGTACCCAGGATTGAACCCGGGCACCTCTTCCAGTACCAGGATTGAACCCGGGCACCTCTCCAGTACCCAGGATTGAACCCGGGCACCTCTCCAGTACCCAGGATTGAACCCGGGCACCTCTCCAGTACCCAGGATTGAACCCGGGCACCTCTCCAGTACCCAGATTGAACCCGGGCACCTCTCCAGTACCCAGATTGAACCCGGCACCTCTCCAGTACCCAGGATTGAACCCGGGCACCTCTCCAGTACCCAGGATTGAACCCGGGCACCTCTCCAGTACCCAGGATTGAACCCGGCACCTCTCCATACCCAGGATTGAACCCGGGCACACTCCAGTACCCAGGATTGAACCCGGGCACCTCTCCAGTACCCAGGATTTAACCCGGGCACCTCTCCAGTACCCAGGATTGAACCCGGGCACCTCTCCAGTACCCAGGATTGAACCCCGGGGCACCTCTCCAGTACCCAGGATTGAACCCGGGCACCTCTCCAGTACCCAGGATTGAACCCGGGCACCTCTCCATACCCAGGATTGAACCCGGGCACCTCTCCAGTACCCAGGATTGAACCCGGGCACCTCTCCAGTACCCAGGATTGAACCCGGGCACCTCCAGTACCCAGGATTGAACCCGGGCACCTCTCCAGTACCCAGGATTTAACCCGGGCACCTCTCCAGTACCCAGGATTGAACCCGGGCACCTCTCCAGTACCCAGGATTGAACCCGGGCACCTCTCCAGTACCCAGGATTGAACCCGGGCACCTCTCCAGTACCCAGGATTGAACCCGGGCACCTCCAGTACCCAGGATTGAACCCGGGCACCTCTCCAGTACCCAGGATTTAACCCGGGCACCTCTCCAGTACCCAGGATTGAACCCGGGCACCTCTCCAGTACCCAGGATTGAACCCGGGCACCTCTCCAGTATCCAGGATTGAACCCGGGCACCTCTCCAGTACCCAGGATTGAACCCGGGCACCTCTCCAGTACCCAGGATTGAACCCGGGCACCTCTCCAGTACCCAGGATTGAACCCGGGCACCTCTCCAGTACCCAGGATTGAACCCGGGCACCTCTCCAGTACCCAGGATTGAACCCGGGCACCTCTCCAGTACCCAGGATTGAACCCGGGCACCTCTCCAGTACCCAGGATTGAACCCGGGCACCTCTCCAGTACCCAGGATTGAACCCGGGCACCTCTCCAGTACCCAGGATTGAACCCGGGCACCTCTCCAGTACCCAGGATTGAACCCGGGCACTGGGGAAGCATGAACAAGTCAACATACATACAATATAACATAAAAATCAACTTATAAACCCCATTAAAGATCTATTATAACAATTATTTCTCTTCCTCAATACAATACACATCAACGGTATTTTCTAGCACCTTAAATACACAATATATACATATATAAATTATTTTTGGGGGTTTAATTGAAATTTTTCAATTAATATTAATTAATTGGAGATATTATTGGTGTAATATAATAGAGAAAATGTTAAATAAATTCAGGAGAGACGTGAAAGATGGGAATAATGATGGGATATTTTATTTTTACCGGGTTATTATGGTTTTTTTTAAATGGGGGGTTTTAATGAGGATATATTTTAACGATGTGAATGGTGATAGTAGTTTATTAATGGTGTTTGATGCGAGGAAGAGGAGATAATAGAGAGAATGAGAGGTAGAGGAGTCAGTAAGGAGTCAGCTGGCAGTGACTCAACATCCACAGCTGTCTACGTAATATATCTTTTTTTCTACCTCTTAAATATGGACGAGAACGCCCAGAGTGAGGAGGTGGGTATATTATGCCTCCCTACACACTATCTTAATATTAATTAACAATTTATAATAATCAATGTCTAGTAAAATGGTCATTATTATACTCGTGGTCTCCACTCAAAAATTTCTCAATATAATTTTTTTTTTCTGAGTTTTCACTGGTTCAAAAACAGACTGTATCAACTTGTAATTTATTATATTCATCCACTAAACCATGACTTATAACATTATTTTTTTTCTATGGGTTCTAGAGGCCAATATAACCAGGAGTTAAAACTCGTCTTTAGTAAAAAAAAATTGTATAGATTTTTTTTTTGGGGGGGATTAAAATTTCCTTTTATAGTAACATATAAATTAGCGAGGTCAAAAACACACAGAAAAGTCAGTCTTATTTCCCCTATGAGTTTTGATTTCCATTGGGGTTCAATTTTATATGTAGTAGGTACATAATTATTGTCAAATATTCGTATATATATAATCAGAATTTTTTTTTTTACGGAAATTGAGAATGTGTCCAGTAAGGATAAAGTTACATTATTTGACCTTAATGAGTTATCCTTGGTTTAATTCTACATAATTTATCATATAAAACCCATTTATTTTCTTAACCCTGGGCTCAGATTTACTCCATATGTTATTTAAAAACCATTGAAAAAGTACTACATATATTACTTAAAACCAGTGAAAAAATGAAAATTATACAAAAGACCAGAGTCAAAAAACTACAAATTTTAATAACTCCATTATATTATACAGTTAAAACTACATTATATACTACAGTATATAGGAAATTTCTGTTTCAACTTTAATAATTTGCAAATCGCATAAAATCATGATTGATAAGGAAGAAGCAACTTATGATGACTTAACCTAGGATGTCCCTGCAGTTTCTCAAAGTAATTTATTTTTTCACCTGGAGGGTGTTCTGGGGGTCAGTGCCCCTGCGGCCCGGTCCATTACGTGTATCGTTATTTAAAAACCGTCTGGTGTGATTTAAGGGACACATTCGACGAATAATGCGAAATAGATTACTTGGTCGAGTTAAGAAATTTGTAACGAGCTGTTTGTTAATACCTTATAGCTCAGCGGTAAAACTTGCTGCTCTCAACCAAGAGGATTTGAAGAACTTGCCATCACTACTTTTGCACTGGTTCATTATTAAGCAAAATTAAAGGTTATTTTTGGGCCAGGGTAAACGGTGGATAACTGAATCCGCAGAAAGCAGACCCATGGATACGGCGGTCCTACTATATTTCAATTATTAACCCCAACATGTGTATCTTCTGCTTGGGTTCCCTGGGTTATCCGACGCACCTGTTCCCCTTTTGGAATTTTTATTCTGAAGAAAGTTGTTACCATGCTTCTTCATGTTTATTAAATCGAATAAAAAGGTGCAACGATACTATACGTATAAATAAGTTGTACTTAGTTTAAACAATTACAGTATTACAGGTCAGAAATGTACGACCCCAATGGAATTAAGTTGCTCTTGACTTGTTTTGGGTTATTCTAGGTAATTTACACTATTTATGATAATTGTACATGCACTTGTGTCCGTTTGCCTAAATAAACTTACGATGGTGACTATGATAACTTAACCTAGGATATTCTTACAATTCCTCAAAAGGATTTAATAAAAGGATTTATGGCTGAAATACTGCTAAGTAAATAATATAAATACTATATGGTTTGAGCAATTATTATTTAAACAGCATTTTGGTGAAATTCTTCATTGTTTGTCTGGTACAATTATAATATTTATTAATGACTTGTCATAACTTTTTTACGTTTAAAAAGTGGTGATAAATAAAATAAAAGACAACTCTGTAAAGAAGTCTTGTTATATATCGACTCATCCTTGCATCACGCTTGAAAACTGCAAAGATTTAAGTAAGATTATACAGGGACAGGTACATATAAGTACAGTTATCATGCTTATTGTAAACTACCTAGGATAACCCAAGAAAGTCGGTTACATGTTTTCATTAGGGTCCTTGCTTTTTTCCAGTCAAGACATCTATCTGCCAGATGTATTGCTCCCTTTTTTATTTGCATTTATTTGTGCCACAATTTACATTTTTTATAGGTTTATTAACCTCCAACCTGATATTTTTTTTTTTTTTGTCGAAGGTAATCAGAAATCAACTTGGTAATGCATAAGAAAATATGTGGTGTAAAATGTGGATTGGTTGTAGATATACAATATGTATAATACAAGCTTCCTACTTTTATGTAAATTCATTTCATGTAAATTTGCTATTATGCAATGTCCCATCCTTATTGATAATACCTTAAGTGCAATATATTATGCTGTACGTAATCATTTCGGTTTGGACAGGATATTGAAAATTCTTATGTGGAATTAAGCATTGATGGCCTGATTCAGTTTAATATAGTTGTCATGGATCTAGAACACATCTGCATAAAATGAGTTGTTTATACAGTTAAAAACAACATAGATATGCTGAGAGAAGTACATATGCACACTTTGAGAGTTTGTAGATGAATGGTTCAGAGAACCGACATGTTGATAAATTAGACCAGTGCAACTCTTGGGTATCTTTATTGAGGAAACGTTTCGCCACACAGTGGCTTCATCAGTCCATACGTAGGAGAAACTTGAAGAACAGGAGGAGAATGAGGTAATCAGTCCCTCAACCTTGAGCCGCTGTGTTCAGTCCATCAGTCTTCTATTCAAGACTGATGGACTGAACACATCGACTCAAGGTTGAGGGACTGATTACCTCATTCTCCTCCTGTTCTTCAAGTTTCTCCTACGTATGGACTGATGAAGCCACTGCGTGGCGAAATGTTTCCTCAATAAAGATACCCAAGAGTTGCACGTGTCTAATTTATCACTTTGAGAGTTGAGGTAACATTAGAATTTTTAATGCAAAGGATTAGCCACTCAGGATAATTATGTAATCCAAGGAAGTCGGTGTGTCATCAAGGATTGTCTCTTATTTCCATTATCGTCCTTCAAACTTGTCTCCAAGAATGCTACCCACAACAGTCCACTAACACCCAGGTACATACTTCATGCTAGGTGAACAGGGATAGCAGGTGTAAGGTAACATGATGACTTAACCAAGTGTACAGGCTGTAATAAGATTCATCCACCTGGGTATACAGTGGAACCTCGGTACTTGAACAGCTCCCTACTCAAACAAAGCTCAGCACTCGACCAAACAAACACGACCTGCCAGAACTTCGCTGGAAACTATTTCGCATTTCTTCACATTTTTTGGTGCTTTTTTTTATATTTGTATAAATAAGTCACCATGGGGCCTACAAAGATTAGCAATAACAGCCAACCAAAACGAAAATTGGCTGGGAAGACTTTGTTCGTTACTTGAATGGATCAGCAATCTAACAGCTTTCTGGAATGAATAAAGTACGAGTACCAAGGTTCTACCGTATTTGTTTTCTATGGTGTTACGATTTCATGTGTAGTAATGAAATTAGTATGTAATTCAGAGGGGTGTATTGCCATTCCTTCATCTTACGTACTTTTGGTAATTGAGCAAAGTGGTTGTATATAAGGTACAGCACATAAATTATATTCTTCATACACATAATTATGCATAATCTAATCATAATCTAAAGTTCATGTACAAGGTATACAAGCCTAGCTGACATCAATGACATAAGTACTACTATATAGAAACCCCCTTGTTATGCAGAGCATTTCAGACAAATTAGGTCAGTTTTGTCCTAGGATATGACCCACACCAGTCGACTAGCATCCAGGTACCCATTTTACTGATGGGTGAACAGGGACAGCAGGTGTCTTATGGAAACACATCCTAACATTTTCCAGCCGTACCTGGGGATCAATCCCCAGACTACAGTATGCAAGCTGAGTGTGCTAGTGATCGAGCAAGTTATATATAAAATAATCATCATTTTAATGGTGGTCTGTGCTGGTTCCAGCCTACCTTCATTTTTTGTTCTACTTTTTTGAAATTGTATGAAAGACCCTATGGCTTGGTAGGCAAAGCACTCCCCTTGCACACTGTGTCCTTGGTTCAATCCCTAGCCAGGTGCAAACATTAGGCACGTTTCCTTATGCCTGCTGTCCCTCTTCACCTAGCAGTAAGTAGGTACCTGGATGTAAGTCACCTGGTGTGTGTTGCACCCTGGGGAACAAGACTGAAGGACCCTAATGAAATAAGACACTCTGATGACACACTACTTTCTTGGGTTATCCTGGGTGGCTAACCCTCTTGGTTAAAAATCTGAACAGTTATTTTTATTAACACATCAGCCATTTCCCACTAAGGTAGGGTGGTCCAAAAAAATAAAAAAAACTTTCATCATTCACTCCATCACTGTCTTGCCAGAGGCACACTTACACTACAGTTATAAAACTGCAACATTAACACCCCTCCCTCAGAGTGTAGATACTATACTTCCCATCTCCAGGACTAAAGTTCGGCCTGCCGGTTACCCTGAATCCCTTCATAAATGTTACCTTGTTCACACTCCAACAGCATGTCAAGTCCTAAAAACCATTTGTCTCCATTCACTCCTATCAAATACTCATGCATGCTTGCTGGAAGTCCAAGCCCCTTGCACACAAAACCTCCTTTACCCCATCCCTCCAACTTTTCCTAGGGTGACTTCTACCCTGCTTTCCCTCCACCACACTTGAAATTATTCTATTTTGTTGCAACCTCTCTACATGTCCGAACCACCTCAATAACCCTTCCTCAACCCTCTGGATAATAGTTTTGGTAATCAAGAATCCGAACAAATCTTATCTTATACATTTGTACTAGTATGTAATTGTCATTATTTCTGAAAGACAGATTGAAACAAAACAATTCCATACTTTTTGGCAGTGGTTTACTGAGTAACATTCAGGCAGGTTATTTTACTCCTTATTGTCCTTACATATAAATATTAACCCTTAAACTGTCCAAACGTAGATCTACGTCCATGTGCGGGGGGCTCCGAATGTAGATCTACTTATTTTTACATGCTTTCAAGTGGGGAAAATCAAGGTTGGAGTGCTACGCACGTGAATGTAGAGCTACATTTGGACAGTTTAGGGGTTAATAATATTACCTGGAGTTTACCTGGAGAGAGTTCCGGGGGTCAACGCCCCCGCGGCCCGGTCTGTGACCAGGCCTCCTGGTGGATCAGAGCCTGATCAACCAGGCTGTTGCTGCTGGCTGCACGCAAACCAACGTACGAGCCACAGCCCGGCTGATCAGGAACTGACTTTAGGTGCTTGTCCAGTGCCAGCTTGAAGACTGCCAGGGGTCTGTTGGTAATCCCCCTTACGTGTGCTGGGAGGCAGTTGAACAGTCTCGGGCCCCTGACACTTATTGTATGGTCTCTTAACGTGCTAGTGACAACCCTGCTTTTCATTGGGGGGATGGTGCATCGTCTGCCAAGTCTTTTGCTTTCGTAGTGAGTGATTTTCGTGTGCAAGTTCGGTACTAGTCCCTCTAGGATTTTCCAGGTGTAGATAATCATGTATCTCTCCCTCCTGCATTCCAGGGAATACAGGTTTAGGAACCTCAAGCGCTCCCAGTAATTGAGGTGTTTTATCTCTGTTATGCGCGCCGTGAAAGTTCTCTGTACATTTTCTAGGTCGGCAATTTCACCTGCCTTGAAGGTGCTGTTAGTGTGCAGCAATATTCCAGCCTAGATAAACAAGTGACCTGAAGAGTGTCATCATGGGCTTGGCCTCCCTAGTTTTGAAGGTTCTCATTATCCATCCTGTCATTTTTCTAGCAGATGCGATTGATAACAATGTTATGGTCCTTGAAGGTGAGATCCTCTGACATAATCACTCCCAGTCTTTGACGTTGGTGTTTCGCTCTATTTTGTGGCCAGAATTTGTTTTGTACTCTGATGAAGATTTAATTTCCTCATGTTTACCATATCTGAGTAATTGAAATTTCTCATCGTTGAACTTCATATGTTTTTCTGCAGCCCACTGAAAGATTTGGTTGATGTCCGCCTGGAGCCTTGCAGTGTCTGCGATGGAAGACACTGTCATGCAGATTCCGGTGTCATCTGCAAAGGAAGACACGGTGCTGTGGCTGACATCCTTGTCTATGTCGGATATGAGGATGAGGAACAAGATGGGAGCGAGTACTGTGCCTTGTGGAACAGACTTTTCACCGTAGCTGCCTTGGACTTTACTCTGTTGACGACTACTCTCTGTGTTCTGTTAGTGAGAAAATTAGATTCATCGACCGACTTTTCCTGTTATTCCTTTAACACGCATTTTGTGCGCTATTACGCCATGGTCACACTTGTCGAAGGCTTTTGCAAAGTCTGTATATATTACATCTGCATTCTTTTTGTCTTCTAGTGCATTTAGGACCTTGTAGTAGTGATCCAATAGTTGAGACAGACAGAGCGACCTGTTCTAAAACCCATGTTGCCCTGGGTTGTGTAACTGATGGGTTTCTAGATGGGTGGTGATCTTGCTTCTTAGGACCCTTTCAAAGATTTTTATGATATGGGATGTTAGTGCTATTGGTCTGTAGTTCTTTGCTGTTGCTTTACTGCCCCCTTTGTGGAGTGGGGCTATGTCTGTTGTTTTTAGTAACTGTGGGACGACCCCCGTTCCATTGCTCCCTCTCCATAGGATGGAAAAGGCTCGTGATAGGGGCTTCTTGCAGTTCTTGATGAACACAGAGTTCCATGAGTCTGGCCCTGGGGCAGAGTGCATGGGCATGTCATTTATCGCCTGTTTCGAAGTCATTTGGCGTCAGGATAACATCGGATAGGCTTGTGTTAATCAAATTTTTGTGGCTCTCTCATAAAAAATTAATTTTTATCTCCGACTCTCAGTCTGGTTAGCGGCTTGCTAAAAACTGAGTCATATTGGGACTTGAGTAGCTCACTCATTTCCTTGCTGTCATCTGTGTAGGACCCATCTTGTTTAAGTAGGGGCCCAATACTGGACGTTGTTCTCGATTTTGATTTGGCATAGGAGAAGAAATACTTTGGGTTTCTTTCGATTTCATTTATGGCTTTTAGGTTCTTCCCGTGATTCCTGACTCCTAAAGGATTCTTTTAGCTTAAGTTCGATGCTTGCTATTTCTCTGACCAGTGTCTCCCTACGCATTTCAGATATATTGACCTCTTTTAGCTGCTCTGTTATTCTTTTCCCGTCGCCTGTAAAGGGAGCGCCTGTCTCTTTCTATTTTACATCTACTCTTCCTTTTTCTTAGAGGAATAAGCCTTGTGCATACATCGAGTGCCACCGAGTTAATCTGTTCTAGGCATAAGTTGGGGTCTGTGTTGCTTAGTAAATCTTCCCAGCTTATATCGGTTAGGACTTGGTTTACTTGGTCCCACTTTATGTTTTTGTTATTGAAGTTGAATTTGGTGAATGCTCCCTAGTGACTAATCTCATTATGTCGGTCTGGGGCTCCGCGCATACATGACTGAACCTCAATTATGTTGTGATCTGGGTATATTGTTTTTGATATGGTGACATTTCTTATCAGATCATCATTGTTAGTGAAGATGAGGTCTAGTGTATTCTCCAATCTATTACATGTTAACTGAAGAGTAAAGAACAAGTTTCTGAAATTTTTTGTTAATTATCTGAGGAATAATGTGCCTTCTTTAATTGAAAGATTATTGAAAGACCTAAATTATTAAATATATGTGCAGTTATTGTTGATAACTTCAAAGAAAATCATTATACAGTGGACCCCCGCATACCGTTGGCCTTACATAACGTTAAATCCGCATACAGCTACATTTTTTCGCTAAGATTTTGCCTCGCATACCGCTAAAAAACCCGCTCAACGCTGTTCGTCCGAGACGCGTCTATGTGCGGCCTGAGCCACGCTCACATGTTCCGCCGGTGGCATTGTTTACCAGCCAGCCTCCGTGGTAACATCCAAGCATACAATCAGAACTTTTCGTATTATTACAGTGTTTTTGGTGATTTTATCTGCAAAATAAGTGACCATGGGCCCCAAGAAAGCTTCTAGTGCCAACCCTACAGCAATAAGGGTGAGAATTACTATAGAGATGAAGAAAAAGATCATTGATAAGTATGAAAGTGGAGTGCATGTCTCCGAGCTGGCCAGGTTGTATAATAAACCCCAATCAACCATCGCTACTATTGGTGGTACAGCTGCTGCTGCTGCTGTTGTACCACCGTCAGCTGCTGCTGCTGCTGCACTGTCAGCTGCTGCTGTAGCACCGTCAGCTGCTGCTGCTGCTGTACCACCGTCAGCTGCTGCTGCTGCTGCACTGTCAGCTGCTGCTGCTGCTGCACTGTCAGCTGCTGCTGTAGCACCGTCAGCTGCTGCTGCTGCTGTACCACCGTCAGCTGCTGCTGCTGTAGCACTGTCAGCTGCTGCTGCTGCTGTTGTACCACCGTCAGCTGCTGCTGCTGCTGCTGTAGTACCGTCTGCTGCTGCTGTAGTACCGTCTGCTGCTGCTGTAGTACCGTCTGCTGCTGCTGTAGTACCGTCTGCTGCTGCTGTAGTACCGTCTGCTGCTGCTGTAGCATCGTCTGCTGCTGCTGTAGCATCGTCTGCTGCTGCTGTAGCACTGTCAGCTGCTGCTGCTGCTGTAGCACCATTGTTGGTGTGACTTATTGAGAATACCAAGAAACAATTAACCCCAGAGGATTTGCCACCCAGGATAACCCAAAAAAGTCAGTGTCATCGAAGACTGTCTAACTTATTTCCATTGGGGTCCTTAATCTTGTCTCCCAGGATGCAACCCACACCCGTCGACTAACACCCAGGTGAACAGGGAAAAATGCCTGGAACTAGTGCTCATATTGGTGAATTTAAAGCCAGCAAAGGTTGGTTTGAGAGATTTAAGAATCGTAGTGGCATACACAGTGTGATAAGGCCTGTTCTGGAAGAAAATGCCAAACAGGACCTACAGTACTCAGGAGGAAAAGGCACTCCCAGGACACAGTGTCTCATCAGTCATTGCTGCATCTTCAATAAAGGTAAGTGTCATTTATTCTTCATTTAGTAGAGTAGTACATGCACAATATATATTGTGCATGTACTACTCTACTATTGTGCATGTATCCTTCTCTTTGTGTGTAGGAAAATGTATATTTCATGTGGTAAATTTTTTTTTTCATACTTTTGGGTGGCTTGCACGGATTAATTTGATTTCCATTATTTCTTATGGGGAAAATTCATTCGCATAACGATAATTTCGCACAACAATGAGCTCTCTTGCATGGATTAATATCGCTATGCGGGGGTCCACTGTATAATACGTATGCACAAAAGTGAAGCAAGACTTTATTTCAGCAAATTTAAATAAACCCTAACTTTGCTGACAGCTCACATTTCTAAACATGTCTTTATCCATCATTACAGCACCAGTTTGTGGTCGATGAGGTGAGCACTATCATCAAGGAAAGTATAGAGACAGTGATTGGCGGCAACGCTTACACCAGCGCCAAGGTGAACAACTGGACTTCACAGGTGGTGGAAAATGTGCTAGGAAACCTATCCAAACTCAACAAGGCTTTTAAATATATTGGTAAGGTACTTTTTTTTTTTTTCAAATTATTAACTTAACCCTTTGAGGGTTTCGGACGTACTAGTACGGCTTATGACCCAGGGTTTTTGACGTACTAGTACGCCTAAATTCTAGTGCCCTCAAATCTAGTGGGAGAAAGCTGGTAGGCCTCCATATTAATGAATGGGTCTTATGTGGTCAGTGTGCACGGTATAAAAAAAATCCTGCAGCACACAGTGCATAATGAGAAAAAAAAAACTTTGACCGTTTTTTTGGAATAAAACAGCGACTTTGCACTGTATTTTCATATGGTATTTATTGTTGTACTCTAGTTTTCTTGGTCTCATTTTATAGAATGGAAGGCATATCATAGAAATTGAGATGATTTTGACTGGTTTTACAATGAAAAGTACCTTGAAATTGAGCTCAAAGTAGCAGAAATGTTCGATTTTTACCAAAGTTCAAAAGTAAACAAATCATGCCAAGCGTCCAATACACGTCAACTGGTGAGTCTAATACAGTGGACCTCCGGTTAACGATATTTTTTCACTCCAGAAGTATGTTCAGGTGCCAGTACTGACTGAATTTATTCCCATAAGGAATATTGTGAAGTAGATTAGTCCATTTCAGACCCCCAAACATACACGTACAAATGCACTTACATAAATACACTTACATAATTGGTCGCATTCGGAGGTGATCGTTATGCGGGGGTCCACTGTATTCTTTTGCAAGTGCGCCAATATGATTCATACCATTTTTTACACTAATGCAGTAGTCTGCATAACAGTAAATCTTCTATTTTTTGTGAGAATAAAAATTCAAAGTGGAAAGCAAAAGAATGTAAGAGGGGCCTTGAGACGTGACTAATGAACAGAGGAAATGTCATTTTAGTGCCAGGAATGTATTTCTTGTTTGTTCTGGACCCTATTTGGAAATTGGCATCTTTTGAAATTTGTGTGAAATTGGCAAAATTGCTAAATTCTGACCACTGTACTGGATAGTTGAAATTGGTAAATGGGTGGTTTCTTGCACTCATTCAATAGAAAAAATGGACTTCTAGCGAAATATTCATGTTTTTTGTCGACTAGTACAGTGGAACTGGCCGAAAATGGGGCTCAAAGTGGGCAAAATCGCCAATCCGTAAACATCGCCGAGACCGCTAACTTCGTATTGCAACCCCTGAATGGGTTGCAATGATTAATATGTATGTATATATATACATATGTATAATTATTACCTTTCATATAATTTTATATTGCTTGTATTTGCGATAATAGCTAAATCGTAAATGTATTTTTTTATATTGTTATTTGACTTGGCTTCCTTTTGTTAGGTAGGATATAGCATATGTGCTCAGTTCAAGTCTTGATTGTCTAACTACTGTAATTATCGCTTGTGGCTCGTTAGACTGCCGGCTTCTGTTGCTGGGCAGTAACTGTCCACGGAGCTATCACGTGATCGAGGGGGGGGGTGTCCTCACCTCGCCTGAAGTATTCAGTCTGGTCTAGACTCGCTTGGTGGTTGGACAGATTGTCTGTCTCATTATTCTTGTTAGTTCTGTAGAACTCTGTTCACAGGACATAGTGATTTCGACTTAGTGATTTTCGACGTTGTACTGAGGTTGTGTGTCTCAAAGACACTCTGAGCAACTCAGGTCCTGAGCTGTAGCTTCTGACCTAACTTGTACTGGTATCTGTGTATTATCACAGTCGGGGATTTTCTTATGCTGAACTTAGATTCAGTGGCCCGGTGGCCTGGTGGCTAAAGCTCCCGCTTCACACACGGAGGGCCCGGGTTCGATTCCCGGCGGGTGGAAACATTTCGACACGTTTCCTTACACCTGTTGTCCTGTTCACCTAGCAGCAAATAGGTACCTGGGTGTTAGTCGGCTGGTGTGGGTCGCATCCTAGGGGACAAGATTAAGGACCCCAATGGAAATAAGTTAGACAGTCCTCGATGACGCACTGACTTTCTTGGGTTATCCTGGGTGGCTAACCCTCCGGGGTTAAAAATCCGAACGAAATCTTATCTTATCTTATCTAGTATGGGAGTTGTGTGACTTGTGGAGGATCTGCAGATGGTCCCTACTTAGTGTCGTTATATTATCTCCTTGTTCCTGATTCTGTGTCGCAGTTGCTTGTTATATTGCTATTGGGCTTAGCATTCTTTTTATTGTTCAAGCAGACTGTTCTGATTGCCAGTTGGTCAAGAAGTTAGTTTGTGAGGACTTTGTCAGTCACTTGTTTAAGTCTAGTCGAGTCGTGAGACATAGCAAACTACTTAGAGCACTTACACACATACACAAACTTGTACATATTTGTAATATCTTATTAAATGTTAATGTACCAGACGGTACTTAAGAATTATAAATGTGATACGTGCTTTCAGCACAATACTATTGTATACAAGAGAAGTGATATTATTTTAATTACTGTGATTAATTTAATTTAATTTGATATACGCCTAGACAACTTAATGATTAATAAATTTATTAAATTTTAATTTCTCTAGTTAGTAGCCTACCAGTTGTAATCCTGAAGCACTATTGAATCATACTGAATTCTAATGGATAATTGGACAAGGATACTGACTACTTGTTACGAAAACCCAGTAACAGGCTGGATGCTAGAAGGGCAGTCCCTTCTAGTATTCACTGGAGATCTCTAAGCTTTTAGAATCGCGTTTTTTGTAACACTTCGGGAGAGCATAATTCCCTAAGTTTTCCATCAAATTTCATATTTTTGGTGTCATTATGATCTGGAAAAGATTCTCTATCTTTTCATAAGAAAAAATTAATTTCTTTTTTTTTTTTTAAATTTGGCCGACCCTGAGAACGAGTCTCAGAGAGGGCCTGTCGACCCTCAAAGGGTTAAAGATCTTCTTTCATTCCTTTATTAAACTAAATTTTTCTTTCTTTGCATAATATACAATGTGTGATTTACATGTTATAAAATATTGTTAAGTACAAAGAAAGCCACTAACATGCCTTGATTTAACAGCCCAAGGAACATGGGTGTCAGTTGATTGCCTGTTAAGTCTGATGGTATATATTTTTTTCCATAATCATAGCAACAGATGATTCTAGATTAAATGGACTTTGTCCACTAAATCTAAAAATGAACTTGCCCAGTGAACTGCAAAAATAATGAAAAGTTCTGGATTTAATAAAATTTGTCTGTTATTTCTGGACATTGTCCGGGTATTGATTTTGTCTGTTATATCCCAACTGTTAAATTGGGGTCTGTTAACCCTTAAACGGTCCAAATAGATCGACGTTCAAATCCGTAGTGCTCCAAAAGTAGATCTGTTTTTTTTTACACATTTTCAAATGTAAAAAAAAAAATATGTACATTTTTTTACATACTTTCAAATGTTGAAAAAACGTATATATACGTTTGGACCATTTAAGGGTTAAATCAAGGTTTAACTATGGTGTATTTAACAATACAGTGGACCCCCGCTTTACGATCAGCTCCCAATGCGACAAATTATGTAAGTGTACAGTATTTATGTAAGTGCATTTGTACGTGTATGTTTGGGGGTCTGAAATGGACTAATCTACTTCACAATATTCCTTATGGGAACAAATTCATTCAGTACTGGCACCTGAACATACTTCTGGAATGAAATAATATCGTAAACCGGGGGTCCACTGTACTTCTAATGCAATGTTTTCTAACTCCTATAAAGGTCAGAAAATTGAACCTGTGTGATTCCTTGCACTGAATGACCCCACACGTAAAATGACACTCCTTTGCATAAGGACGGCCCCAGCAGAAAAAATCAAAATAATCTTTTACCAACATAATTAGCTTTCTTTATAACCCATTTTCTTAGGCACCTAGCATCACTGTGTAAACTACCTGGTCCTGATGACATTTTAACATCTCTTAATAGATTGTCCCCTTTATCAGAGTGCATACTAATTTCAGTTCAAACACTTTCAATGCCCTGACATACATACATGTACTTTGTAACTCCTTTTATAGGGACCCAGCATAACTGAGAATTGCCAGGTCACAATGACAGTCTAATATCTCTCGACATATTTTTTCCCTTCATCGTAGAACATGCCAACTTCATTTCAGACACCTTCCATGCCCTGACATGCTTGTTTTGTCTGCCTTCCTATTCAGTGACTTCAGCTTTAATGTAGATACCATGATTTTTTCGTAGGTAGTAGGTTGATAGAAACCGCCCAGGGAGGTACTACCATCCTGCCAGGTGAATGTAAAACGGAAGCCTGTACGTAATTGTTTTACATGCTGGTAGGATTGCTAATGTCTTTTCTCTGTCCCATAAACACACACGATTTCAGGTATGCCTTGCTATATCTACTTACTTAGGTCACACTACACATGCATTTACAAGCATATATACACACACTTCTCTGGGGTTTCTTCTATTTTCTTACTAGTTCTTGTTCATCTCCTCTTATCTACATGGGGAAGTGGAACAGAATTCTTCCTCCATAAGCCGTGCGTGTTGCAAGAGGGGACTAACATTCCAGGAACAAGACGCTAGTAACCCCTTATCCTGTATACATTACTAAAGTTAAAAAGAGAAACTTTTGTTTTTCTTTTTGGGCCACCCTGCCTCAGTGGGATAGAATCAGTTTGTTGAAAGAAGAAAGAAGAGGATAATGATTTTTTATCTGATCTCTTGCATCAACTGTACCACACTTTCATGAGGACTTTGATGCTGGTCAATGGCTTACGATCCAAGAAATTGGATTTACCCTTTTCCTCCATGAATCAAATTTGAATACCTCCCATAAGTCATGCAACTTATGGTTTAACCCTTTGACTGTTTCAGGCCCCTCTCTGAAACTGTCATTCTATGTCGCTCAATTTTTGAAAAAAAAAAAATTATTTTTTCTTATGAAATGATAGAGAATCTTTTCCCGATGGTAATGACACCAAAAGTTCGAAATTTGGTCGAAAACTCGTGGAATTATGCTCCCGCGAAGTTAGCGGTCTCGGCGACATATGCGAATCGGCGATTTCGCCGACTTTGAGCCCTATTTTCAGCCAATTCAATTGTTCCAGTTGACCAAACTCATAGCTATTTCTTTAGAACTCCATTTTATCTATCAGCTGAGTACAAGAAACCTCCCATTTACTAATTTGGACTACCCAATATGGTGGTCAGAAATTGGCAATTTGGCCAATTTCACGCAAAATAAAAAAGATGCCAATTTCAAAATAGGGTCCAGAATAAACAAGGTAGACATTCGTGGCACTAAAATAACATATGCTCTGTTCATTAGTCACATCTCTAGGCCCCTCTTATATTATTATTGCTTTCTATTTTGATTTTTTATTCATACAAAAAAATACAAAATTTACTGTTATGCAGACGACTGCATTATTGTAAAAATGGTATAAATAATATCAGTGCACTAGTGAAAGAATATTAGACTCCCCAGTTGATGTGTATTGGACGTGTGGTGTGATTTATTTACTCTTGAACATTGGTAAAAATCGAACATTTCCGCTAATTTGAGCTCAGTTTCAAGGTCGTTTTCATCGTAAAAGTAATGAAAATCATCTCTATTTCTGTAATATGTTTTCCATTTTATCACCTAAGACCATGAAAACGGGAATACAACGATAAATACTATACGAAAATACACCTCAAAGTTGGCGTTTTATTCCAAAAAAACGATCAGTTTTTTTTTTCTCATTACGCAATGTGTGCTGCAGGATTTTTTTTATGTGGTGCACACTGACCACACAGACCCATTCTCTCACATGTGGGCCTACCAGCTTTCTCCCACTTGATTTGAAGCCGCTAGAATTATTGAGTATATATACGTCAGAAACATTGGCTCGTAAGACGTATTTATACGTCGAAAACAGTCAAAGGGTTAATGCTTTTCCACAAATATAATACTAATACAATCATCATATACTTTATAAATGTACAGTTGTTTCCCCACAGTGACCTGTGTAATAATGCAGAAGAATGGAGCTGGCCTTCACACAGCGAGTTCCTGTTATTGGGACAACACCACTGATGGTTCGTGTACAGTCCGCTGGGAGAACAAGACTATGTATTGCATCGTGTCGGTGTTTGGACTGGCAATCTGAGATCGTAGTGACTTAGTGTATTCATTTAATTCCAAGGATTGAATTATATTTTTGTGGGCCTATAAATGATGGTCACATGGCATCTAGCAACTGAAAATATTGATATTTTTGAAGATACTTAGAGTTGATTCATACTAATTAATACTAGCACAGTATTCAAACTTTATGTAGCTTTAATGGTATTGTTCAACTCCTTTATATCTTCAGTGTCAAAGCTTTAACAGTTATATGACTAGGATAACCTTGCTAACTAAACTTGCTTTAACTATTCATAGTCTGTCTTGGGGCTGCATATGATAACCTTTATATATAATGCTTACAGAAATGGAAATATTCAATCCTTGCATCCAAACAGTGCCTGTCATTATGTTTGTTAAAGTTTTAGTTTGATAGCCATCATGCACCCCATACTCATCTTGTGGGTAATAGTTGAAAAATTATATAGACATTTACTAGGATGTAGGGTCTGTGTTATGGTGAGTCATCTTAATTTGTCATGTAATTATGAAGAGACATGATTTTGTAAAAAAAAAAAAAAAAAATTCTGCCATGAATTGCTGCTTTCTCAAAGAATAAGAGAGAGCAGTAGCCATTATTATGTTGAGAGAAATTACTAATGTTTGTGGTAGCCAGATTTATAGTAAATTTATATATATTCTTTCATATATTTTTTCATTGATGACAAAGTACTGTTGTATATTCATATGATATACAAGGTACAGTATTTCAGACATTAATTGAATCTTTTGTTATTGTGTATCATCTTGGATGTTTGTTTTTCCAATAAACTTTTATAATATTATCATTTCTCTGCCAATTGCTTATCAGTTTTGTGGATTAGTGTTTGAAATTAAGATACAGATATCATTAGCCCATAATATTAGCTGATTTTCTTGTTAATTTTGTCCTAAGGAGCCATTGCTTGTAACTTTTGATATTTTACAAGTAAAATATCAAACTTTGGTTCAGCTTGTTAGAATATTATTACAACCTTTATTATATGTCTATTTATTACATAATACATAAATCTCAATTGTCTAACATTGTGTATGTAGCTAAAGAGCCGGGAATCATTGAATGTTGAACTTAAAAGTTAGTCTGAATGAATGATTAGACTGAGAAAAAGTAATGGAAACTGGTTAAGGTAAATTTAACTAATGAGGGTCTGTTAGACTGGTCCATTCTTCTTACAATGTACATGCAAAACAAAAGACTGGGTATCAGATCAGCAACATTACATTCCCACCTCAAGCATTGCAACCTTGGTACTCTTAACTGGTCAGATTGAAAGTGCTTGCTGTGGTGTGCACCTTGTCATGCCAAGACAGACAAAGCTGCTGCCTCTCTGAAGGTGATTGTATGTAGTTGTAGGTATGAAGGATATTCACTATTTTTGCCCCTATTGTGAAACACCTTCTCATGAAATATTAAATTTTTATAGTAGCAGGATAAGTTTGTCATTAAATCATTCCCACCCCTAATGTGAAATTGCAGAGAATGGCGTGTTAAATGAAGTCGTAGATAACAGGTCATGTAACAGATAATAAAAGAACTGAATGTCCCATGCATGTTCAGCCTTTTTTGTGTGACTATATCAGATTAGGTCAAAGAGAAGGGAGAAATCATTTTTCAAGGTAAATTATGGCTTTAGAGCTTTGTGTTGATATGGGAAGTAAAGAATAAGTTTTTACCTTGCTGCCAGGATATGGCAGATTTTCATGTGTAGTTAGTTGTGAGCACCAGCACTTTCTTTTTTAGACTTGACATTTTTAATTTATATGGGCATAAAATAGTAGAATAAGTCACTGGCTGGAATAAATGAGAACCTTTAAATGATATTTTGGTCTTTGCAACTTGATACTTTTCCACAGTGGACCAAAGTATCTTATAACATTTCTTCTACTAGGGGGTTAGTTGTGAAGCATAAAATAGTACATTAATATGTATGACTTGGAAAGCTGAAATATTGTAATTTTCCTGATTAAAATATAGGATAAAATTTATTCATTTTTGGATTTGTTTAAACCTATATATGACTATAGTGCAGTATATAATTGTATAGTGTCTGCATGCTAAATGAGGGGTGGGATGTTGCATCTCGGAGGATCATGTTGCAGTTCAGAGGGCCGTCTGAACTGTTAAGTTCTGGTTAAGCGAGTCATCCGAACTGTTATGTTGCAGTTCAGAGGGTCATCTGGACTGTTATGCTACAGTTCAGAGGGTCATCTGGACTGTTATGCTGCAGTTCAGAGGGTCATCTGAACTGTTATGCTGCAGTTCAGAGGGTCATCTGAACTGTTATGTTGCAACTCAGTCATTTGACCTGTGATATCTGCATGTTGCTGGTAAAACAGCGATCAAATGACAATGTAACTTAATTAAAAAAGTGGGAATTGGTCTTGTCCATGCTTGGAACTTTTAACACTGGGATGCATTTGTCCTCTGAGAAATGGCCCCTCATGGAAAGAGCCTTGATGCTGGTCAGGGGCTCTTCATCCATGGAATTGAACCTATCATCCCCTACGACTGAACCTGATTGCTTCCCATTTCCCCAGGTGTTGTATGATCCTTACGGGTTTACTACTGCTTCATTAGTGTAATAATAATAATGATAAAAATTGTCCTGAAAACCAATATACTAATTTATTGGAAAATTTTATGGACCTTGTCATCAGTGCCGAGGTTGGGAGACCACTCTCTCCCGCCTTCGCATTGGCCACACTCGTCTTACTCGTGGGTATCTCATGGAGAGGCACCCTGTTCCTCTCTGTGAGCAGTGTCAAGTTCCAGTATCGATTAGCCACATTCTGTTAGACTGCCCTCTCTATCAACGAGCACGCAGAATTTACCTCCGTCGTCGTCTTCGTTCTACTACTCTCTCTTTACCTTCCCTTCTTGCTGATGGACCCTCCTTTAATCCTGACTCTCTCATTGACTTCTTGACAACGACTGATTTACTCCACAAACTCTGATGATACTTTTCGCACTCCCCTCAGCCCTTTCTAGTTCAGTCTCTTGCTGCCCTTTACCCTTTCACCATCCACTACCCCGCTGTTATCCGTAACCTATTACTCATCCATCTCCCTTTTGCCACCTGATGCCCTCGCTTCCTTCCTGCCCTGCAGCGCTGTATAGTCCTTGTGGCTTAGCGCTTCTTTTTGATTATAATAATAATTATGGACCTTGTTAAGTTTAACATTTGTTTCACTCTGCACTGTATGACCCTTGTAGGTTTAGCGCTTCTTTTCTATTATAATTGTTTTAATGTTCACTGGGTTGAGTTCCAGCTCTTGGGCCACTGGAGGATGCTGATCTACAGCTCCTGGGGCCTATTCAGTGTTGATCTACAGCTTCTGGCCCTGTGGAGGGTGTTGATCTACAGCTTGGGTCTGGAGGGTGTTGATCTACAGCTTGGGTCTGGAGGGTGTTGATCTACAGCTCCTGGCCTCTTGAAGGCATTGGGCCCCTCAAGGCAGGTTCTTTGATGCAGGCAAAGGGTTCTTGGTCCAAGGCAATGAGAATATATCCACCCCTTGGATTAAACTGGATTACCTCCTGTTTCCCAAGTGCTGTACGAGCCCAACAGGTTTAGCGCTTCCCACGTGACTGAAAAGAAAAATCCATTGAAGCAGTGGCTCGGGTGAGTGAGTGAAGGAGTCATGTGCTGCTGCTCACCTGTGACACACACCCTACCCTGCTGCTGCTTCACCATCACCCATTAGTACTGAACTGCCCACTCCCTACTGAACTGCTCATTCCTTACTGAACCACCCATTCCCTAATGAACCACCCATTCCCTAATGAACCACCCATTTCCTACTGAACCACTCCCCTACTGAACCACCCATTCCCTACTGAACCACTCCCCTACTGAACCACCCATTCCCTACTGAACCACTCCCCTACTGAACTGCCCATTCCCTACTGAACAACCCATTCCCTATTGAACTGCCCATTCCTACAGAACTGCCCGTTTCCTTCTGAACCACCCATTTCCTCCTATACCCATTCACTGTTGCTGAACCACCCAATCCCTACTGAACGACCCATTTTAGTCTGCTGCTAGTCCACCCATTCCCTGCTGCTGGTCCACCCATTCCCTGCTGCTGGTCCACCCATTCCCTGCTGCTGGTCCACCCATTCCCCTGCCGCTGGTCCACCCATTCCCTGCTGCTTTGGTCCACCCATTCCCTGCTGCTGGTCCACCCATTCCCTGCTGCTGGTCCACCCATTCCCTGCTGCTGGTCCACCCATTCCCTGCTGCTGGTCCACCCATTCCCTGCTGCTGGTCCACCCATCTCGGTTCTCTCCAACGTAAGTTACACATTTCGGCATTTCTAACTGCGCTGTATGACCCTTGTAGGTTAGCGCCTCTTTTTTATTGTAATAATTATAATTACCTGCGTCCCTGAATCTTGTGGTAAAATGTATGTGGAATTATCAATATGTGGAATTATCAATATGTGGAATTATCTGTATGTGGAATTATCAATATGTAAAATTATCAATATGTGGAATTACCTTTATGTGGAATTATCAATATGTGGCATTATCTGTATGTGGAATCATCAATATGTGGAATTATCAATATGTGGAATTATCTGTATGAGGAATTATCAATATGTGGAATAATCAATATGTGGAATTACCTGTATGTGGAATTATCAATATGTGGAATTATCAATATATGGAATTATCTGTATGTGGAATTATCTGTATGTGGAATTATCAATATGGGGAATTTAAATTCAATAATGGGGAAATTTAAAACTTTATGTGGAATTATCTTATGTGGAATTATCTGTATGTGGAATTATCAATATGTGGAATTATCAATATGTGGAATTATCATATGTGGAATTAAACTGTATGTGGGAATTATCAATATGTGGAATTATCTGTATGTGGAATTATCAATATGGGGAAATTAACATATGTGGAATTATCAATATGTGGAATTATCATAGTGGAATTACCTGTATGTGGAATTATCAATATGTGGAAATTATCAATATGTGGAATTATCAATATATGGAATTATCGTAATGTGGAATTATCATATGTGGAATTATCAGAAATGTCGAATAACGTATGTGGAATTATCAATATGTGGAATTATCATATGTGGAATTACTTATGTGAATTATCAAAAATGTGGAATTATCAATATGTGGAATTATTTGAAATGTGAATATAAATATGTGGAATTATCTGTATGTGGAATTATCAATATTGGAATTACACTGTATGTGGAATTATCAATATGTGGAATTATCAATATGTGGAATTTCAAATGGGAATTACCTGTATGTTGAATTATCTGAAATGTGGAATTATCAATATGTGGAATTATCAATATGTGGAATTATCTGTATGTGGAATTATCAATATGTGGAATTACCTGTATGTGGAATTATCTGTATGTGGAATTATAAATAGTGGAATTATCAATATGTGGAATTATCAATATGGGGAATTATCTGTATGTGGAATTATCAATATGTAAAATTTATCAATATGTGGAATTATCTGTATGTGGAATTATCAGTATGTGGAATTATCAATATGTGGAATTATAAATATGTGGAATTACCTGTATGTGGAATTATAAATTTATGAGGAATTATCATATGTGGAATATCAATATGTGGAATTATCTGTATGTGGAATTATCAATATGTAGAATTATCTGTATGGGGAAATTTTATCAATATGTGGAATTATCAATAATGGGGGAATTATTTTTTATGTGGAATTATCAATATGTGGATTTACCTGTATGTGGAATTATCAATATGTGGAATTATCAATATGTGGAATTTCAACATGTGGAATATCAACATGTGGAATTATCAAAAAGTGAATTATCTGTATGGTAATTATCAAAAAGTGGAATTATCAATATTGTGGAATTATCAATAGTGGAATTACAATATGTGGAATTATCTGTATGTGAATTAAAATATGTGGAATTATCAATATGTGGAATTTATAAAAATGTGGAATTACTGTAGTGGATTTATAAATATGTGAATTTCAATATGTAATTATCAATATTGAATTATCCAATATGGAATTAACTGTATGTGAATTACATATGGGGAAATTTAAACCTGATTGAATTACAATAGTGGAATTACTGCATTCGAAAAACTATAGTGGAATTATAAATATGGGGAAATTATCAACAGTGAATTATCATATGTGGAGTTACTGTATGTGAATACAATTTTGTGAATTATCTGTAAAATAATGAATGATCCATATAGCTTGTATTTATTTTTTGCAGAATAATATAATAATAATAATAGACACAAGTGTGCAGAAGTTGGTTTTTAAGTCAGTTTACATGATGAATAAACGTAGTGAAGGTAACACCACAACACAGCTGTTAGTGGTTACTATCACCACACTACTACCACTATCACCACTATCCCACCACAACTACCAACATCACCACTACTCCCAAACCCACTACTACTCCCACTATCACCACTATTTACTACCACTAATCACCACTACTACTACCACTATCACCACTACTACCACTATCATCACTACTACTACCACTACCCACCACTACACCACCACTACAAACCACTCCCACTATCACACACACTACTACCCACTACACCACTACTACTACCACTACACCCTACTACTCCCACTATCACCACTACTACTACCACTATCACCACACTACACCACACTACTATCACCACTACTACTACCAAACTATCACCACTACTACCACAAATCACCACTACTACCACCACTACTACTACCACTATCACCACTACTACTACCACTACACCACTACTACTACCGCTATCACCACTACTACCACTATCATCCACTCTACTCCACTATCACCACTACTACTACCACTATCACCACTACTACACCACTATCACCACTACTACCCCCATCACTACTACACCACCACTACTACTAACCACTATCACCACTACTACCACTATCACCACTACCTACCATCACTGCATCACCACACTACACCATAGTCACCTACTACCACCACTACTACTACCACTATTCAACCACTACTATACCACATCACCACTACACCACTATCACCACACTACTACTATCACCACTGCTACCACTATCACCACTACCACCACTACCACCACTACTACTACCACTATCACCACTACTACCACTATCACACTACTACCACATACTACCACTACCACTATCACCACTACTAAACCACTATCACTACTACTACCACTATCACCAACTACTACCACCATCACTACTATCCCACTACTACTACCACTACACCACTACTATTTACCACCATCACTATATCACCACTACTACCACCACTACTACCACTTCACCACTACCCACTACTACCACCACTACCACTACACCACTACTACCACCATCACCACTACTGCTACCACTATCACCACTACCTACCACATCACCACAAACTACTACCACTATACCACTCACAAACTACCACCACACTACACTACACATCACCACATACTACTACCACTATCACCACAAACTACCACCCACTACACCACTCACTACTACCACCACTACTACCACATCACCACTACTACTACCACTACACCACTACTACTACCACTATCACCACTACTAACCACCACTACTACTAACCACTAACACCACTACTACCACCACTACTACTACTACCACTATCACCACAAACTACCACCACTACTACTACCCACTACTACTACCACTACTACCACCACTACTACTACTACCCTATCACCACTACCACCACTACACCATACACCACTACACCACCACTACTACTACCACTATCACCACTACTACCACCACCATACTACAAACACTACACCACTACTACCACCAGCTATACCACTATACCACTACTACCACATCACCACTACTACCACCATCACTACTATCCCCCACTACTACCACAAATCACCACTACTACCACTATCACCACTACTACTAACCATCACTACTATCACCACTACTACTACCACTATCACTACTACCCCCACTACTACTCCCATATCACATTTATCACCACACTACTACCACTAACCCACTACTACCACACTACCTACACCACTATCACCACTACTACTACCACACTACTATCCACCACTACCACTATCACCACTACTACCACCATACTACCACCACCACTACAAACTACCAACACTACAAACACCACTACTACTCCCACTATCACCACTACTCCCACTATCACCACTACTACCACTACAACCACCCCCTAAACTACCCCACTATCCACCACACACAACTACCACCACTACTTCTCCCAACCACTACTCACCACTACAACTACACCACTACACCACTACACCATCTACTACCAACCACTACTCACCACCCCACCTTCAACCACCCTACTCCACCAACACAACCACCACTACTCCACCCTCCTACTAACCACCCACACTACCACATCACCCTCTAAAAAACCCCCACTACTACCACAACACCCCCACTACCACCACTACTACCACAACACCACTACTCCACTACACCACCCACAACCACACTCCCGACCACTACAAACTCCACACAACACCACCTCTAAACTAACCACTACCCACTACAACTACAACCACTACTACAAGCACTATCACCACTACAAAACTACTACCACCATCACTACTACCCACCACTACAAGTACCACCACTATTTACCGCCACCACTACTACCCCCAAACTACTATTAACATCACTACTTCTACCGCCAACCACTACCACTACTACCACCACCACCACTACTACTACCACGTCACCACTACTACTACCACTATCAACACTACTACTACCACAAATCACCACTACCCCCCCCACTACCCCACTACTACTACCACTAACATTTACTACTACAACCACCACTAACTAGCACTATCACCACTACTACTACTACCACCACCCACTACTATCACCACTACTACCACTAATACCGCTACCACTACTATTAACATCACTAACTTCAAACGCCACCACCACCACTACTACTACCACTGTCACCACTACTACCAACCACCACTACTACTACTACCACTATCAACACTTCTACTACTACGGGCCACTACACCACTACCACCACTACCACTACCACCACTACCACAAATCACCACTACAACCACCACTACAACTACCACTATCACCACTACTACCACTATCCCCAAATCACTACTAACCACCACTACTACCACTACTACTAGCACTATCACCACTACTACTACTACCACCACACAAACTATAACCACAACTACTACCACCACTACTACTAC